CCCCGGAAGGCAGTCGTGACCAGGAGCATCACCGCCTGGTGGCTGCCTCACCATTGACCGTCTCTCTGCCCCGCCCATAGTGACGGCGAGGTTTGCAATAACTTCGCGTGAATTACTCGCTTTACCCTTCTTCCCACTCCTTCCACGCCAACAGCACCTTTATCTACACGTTACTGGTTGCTCCTGCCTCCTGGCCCACGGTACTACCTACACAGCGTCCCCGCTCAACCTCACCCCGCTCAACTGCTCCGCCTCCCAACCAAGGCTGTATTCGCGTCACTGTCTGGCGAGACGCACTTCTCTCTCCTCATGAGTTCAAGTAGGCTTCTCATCGCACCATCGTCCATGTTCTTTTCCCGTCTCACTGACACCCCAGTCTTCCGTATCGTCCTCCGGGACGCAAAGCGGTACGACACGTACGAGACCCGTGAGTTCGACCTGCCGCTCAACAGCGAGTTCCCTATCGGTCGAGCATCCAGCAACGCGGCCAAGCGAGAGCTCATGGCTGCACCACACAACGCCTTCATCGACAGCCCCGTTATCTCACGACAGCACGCCGTCCTCTCGGCCAACGCAAACAGCGGCGTTCCGGAAGTCTACATTACCGACAAAGGCTCCATGCACGGCACCATGCTGAACGGTCAGAGGCTCTCTGCCAACACACCCACCAAGCTGAACGATGGCGATGTCCTGCAATTCGGCACTGACGTTAACCGTAATGAGGGTACGTCCTCCCGTAGGCCCTCCAAACCTCCTCTTACCCTAGCTTCTGAGCTGACACCAACCCACACAGAGTTCTTTGTAGCCCGCACCTATACTTTCGAGTCGCAGCTATCACGCCCCTTCTCTCTCGGTTTCACCGTGCCTGATGCCGAGAGTGACGAAGAGGAAGTCGCAGAGCGCCGAGGCAGCCAGATCGATCCTTTCGTCATCGACGACGACTCCGACGCAGCTGATGACCACTCGGAGGCCGACGACCAAGAAGAGGTTACCATGATCATGGATCAGGTCCTGCACCCAAACGAGCATGACCACACTCTCAGTGTTGGCCAGGACGACTACCCAACGTCCGCGATGCGCACCACTCTTCCCAACGAGGACTACAACCAAGAGAGCTTCGCGTCCCGTCGTGACGACTCCCTCGAGCCTGCTAGTCCGAACCCTTCCAGCGATGAAGAAGACGTGGCCGCTCTTGGTTCTGATTCGGACAGCGAGGCTGGCAGCATCGATAGCTCCGAGATGCTGTCTGACTCCGAGCCAGAAATTCAGGATTCAGAAGACGAGGAAATGGAAGAGGTTGAACACAAGAAACCCACCACATCCTCATCCAACAAAGAGAACGAGGCGTCCATCCACAGTCAAGTACCCCAGACTGTTCACTCCTTCCCGCGCGATACAACGACGCTTTCGCTCTCGGACGTATACATGCCGCAAGACGTAGCCAACACACAGCCGTCGCTACCACGCTTGTACATGTTCGGTATGCAGGGCTCCGACGGCAACTCCATGTCGAACAGCAACGTCTACGGAGATAACGCGCCTCCACCTCTGCCGCCACGTCCCTCGGCGTCCAGGGCAGCACCATGGTGCGATTCAAACTATCGCTCCTTCAGGGAAGTGGCCGATCTTCAGGAATGGTACTCCGAGGGCGTTCCGCCAAACTACTTGGGCACCAACTTTGGCGATCGACCGTCCCTGTTCAGTCCGGCTCCTCTTGCCCCAATGGCAGAGGCGAATGAGGCTCGTGCTCCCATGCCCCAATTCACTCCTTATCCTAGCCAATCCATGCAAGCGAATCGTCTGCAGACACCTCCACCATATTTCGTACCCGACTTCGAGACCTCCCCGCCGGTGCAGCCAGGTCGCCGTACCAAGGTCTCTATCGAGGAGATCGTTGAGGAGCAGCCGCCTACACCTGAATCTGTGAAAGACTTGAAGCGCAAGGCCGATGTGCTTGAGGCAGACGAGCCAGAAGCCGTTCTCGACGAAGCATCCAAGGCCGTCGTTGGTGATGAGCATGCGACCTCAAACTTGGTAGCTGCTGTTCCAGTGGATGATGCTGCTGCAATCCAGACGGCTGCCATTATTGCCCAGCGTCCCAAGAAGACTCCCCGCTCGGTCCTCAGCAAGGTTCTCAACAAGGCTGCCTATCCCTTGCTCGGTGCTACCGGTGCCGTAGTCTCCTTTGCTCTTCTTTCTACCCTCCCGGATGCCTTCTTTGTGTAGGCCATGATGGACCTGATGGCAGCAGTCCGTCATTCTTCTTTTCCGGAGTTCAGGGTAAGGCAAGGTGTACATGGCGGGGTGATTCTGGGATCATGATATCGGTGGGAGCATCTACGGATAACGGCAATCAGTGCTAACGGCGTTTCGAGAGACGTCAGAAGAGTCGGGTCCTGGGTTATGGGTGGTATGTGCTTCGGGATCCACTGGCGTTGTGTGTCTTTTTTCCTCATGTCACGCCATGGTGCATGACTATATTACCTTTGGTTTGATAACGAGTTATGTGCAAGAATCTCCCCACTAGATGCTACTGCGTGTGTTGTCTGAGTGATGCGAAATGGTAGATTGGGTTTACGCGAAGCTTGAAATTCTTCGGGACGCTAAACCTCAAGCGGCTCGTGTTGAGGACCTCGGGAGCTCCACACCCACGTGGATGACCTAGACGTCACGTCTTCATTACTGTCAGACCGGTCCGTGGTAGAGTACGGGTATCTGTACCAGATCTTATGTTATTGTTGTTGTGAGTTTAGTGTAAACATCGTCTTTCGCAAACACTTTTCCTAGCTACCACCTGCAACGCTCCGTACGATCCTCTACCAAAGTACCAACTCAATGACCAGTCCGACCCAGAACCAGACTGCAATCTGAGTCAAAGGCGCACTCTATTCAAACCGTACGATCCTCTTCTGAAGACGTCTGATGGACTGTCACTGTCTTCCTAATAGCCTTCCAATCCTGCATATCCATGCTATTCAACACAGCTAACTCACTTCCCTGTAAACTACCCTGGTCTTTACCCGACTTCATGCCCGTCACCTTCGTTCTGACCTTTGTCGAGACCGACGTCCAAAGAGGTTTGAAATATGGCAAGCAAGCACACAAGACAGCAGTGCAAACATGGATGGAAGTCCAGAGCTCGGTAACATGGTAGAAAACTGGTTAATGTCAGCGCTAGGACTATCAGTGTCGAATCAAGAGACGACTCACTTTCATCAGGATCCTTCTCACGACCTAGAAAGAACAAAGATATCCGCACCGCATTAGTAATAACGACGAACCCTCCCAGCGCAAATATTCCCGCGAGCCCTACTTTCGCCCGCCGCGCCATCTGCAGCGTAAACGCCGTGCGAATCGGGACCAGCAAGATCGCCAGATCGATAGCCGCGTCGAGCGTGAGAAACACATGTATAATATCCGTCCAGTTATCGCGATACTTGTTCCGCTCATCCGTCAGTTTGACATCTTCGTCGGGGCTAGAGGCAAGGGCCAACGGCCGGCAGATGCAGACTGTAGTAATGGTTGTGGAGAGGTACCAGAGGGAGGTGAAGATTATCAGGGAGAGCGAGGCACGCTGGTGGAAGCTCGAGGTGGAGAAAATGCGCCGGTAGAAGAGGAGGATGGAGAGTTTGCAGGTGTATTGGGCGGTTATTACGACGAGGAAGGCGGTTAGCATGGCCTGTTATTGGGGGGTGGTTAGTTGGTTGTTGAGATGGGGGGTTTTAGAGATGGGAGGAAGTAGAGGGTAGAGAGGAGTGGGAGGTAGAGAAGAGAGGAAGTGGGAGAGGGACGGGAAGAGGAATTGAGGAAGGAAGTGGGAAAGGAATTGGGAGAGGAATGACGAGAGGAGAGGGTGATATTACCTTGCGGTAGCCACTTAGCAGCTTAGAGGAATCGTCCAAATGCATGTTTTGGACCTTGATTCTGGTATAGGGTCCGAAGTTCGTGAAGCTCTCTGTCATTTGATAGTCAGTCCATTGTGGGCGGTGATGAACTCCTGAAGTGGTGGGTAAGTACCTTGCAGGACAACGGCGACGGCCGCGTAGTATAGAAGCAAGGTCAGGAGAATTAAATGATCATCTTTTTTGAGGCCCTGTTTAGTCCTGATCTTGACGTAAAATCGTGTGAAGACCGCAAGGCCGGCGATGAGACTGCAGACGATATGGGCGATGACTATCTCAGCATGGTGATAACTGAGGCCTAGCATTTTGGCGGGGGTATCGCTGACGATGATGATCCTGTCGGGTGTACGGCTCATCTCGAACCGCGGCGAAAGCGCGATGGTAGTTGAAGGGGCGCTAATGTGCGATTGAGGCGAAGGAGCGCATATCCAAGATCAAAGACTGAGGCGGTATATACGAAGGCGTTAGGATCAGCCCCGAGGGTAAAATGGCAGACAAATGGATGCGATCGTCGTCGAGATAGGGAGCCAAGGTCGGTATCCAAATTGGGGGAGAAGACGGATATAGGGCGACCGCGCGATTGTCGGTGGTCACACTGTGTCACCCAAAAGACGTGGTCCGTTTGCTAGCGATCTCTGTTTTACAGACTATTCCAAATAGGTCACGTTTGCGCTCTCTCTTTCACTTCTCATTTCGCTTTGATGAACTCGATCAGTGTGCCGAACCAGCCGAGCGTAACTTGTATGATTTTCGAATGATGATTAAAACAGTATGGGACCAAACCTAGAGTTACGTTCCCACTCTTAGGCTTCACGATGTCTTGTCTTATATCTACATCTTTTTACCCTTTTTTTCAATCCCTAGCATGCCTAACACAACTGTTGAGCTGTAGAGATAGCTTGATCCCCAGAGATTTTGTGGTCAAGGTTGTTTCGCTACCTGATAGATGGCTATCCTCGTGCTCTTTTCTAAAAGACCTGGGACTAACAGCCTTTCCCGTACTGAACTGTGCTCAAAAACAACAAAAGTATTGCGTCCCCCATGCTCACTTCATCTTGACCATCTCGATCCTCACACCCTCTGCCCATCTCGCGACGATCACCATCCTAGGGACATCGGTCCTCCAATAGCGGCCTCTATCGCGGTATCAACTAAAGGATCGAACTCCCCAACATCGAATGCCAACTGCTTCAGCGGACCCATCGCTTGTTCCATGAGGCTGATGTGTCTTCGAAGCAGTCCGATCATCTCCTGGGGCGCCCGTGCTTCTCTTTTGCGTTTCGTCAGCTCACTCTTTGACTTGCCAATCTCCCTGTAAAGAGGGAGAAGTTCTGCGATGAGTTTTCTCCTCCGCTCATGGTAGTCGCGTTCATCGCTGCTGTTATCAGAGTCGCTGCTTCCATGATCGCGCTCTCTCTGGTGTAGTTGATCTGTGTCTCCGTCTATCGGCGCGTCACTTGCTGCTGGTATCCTTTCGTGATCGAGATCGTTGGCAGGCGAATAAGGAGGGGGCGCCGGGTGACTCGAGAGTCTATCATGATCCGTGTCTGCATAGACGTCGTTCGTCTCCGCGGTGTACTGATGTGTTACGTAGTTGTTCTGCCCCATAGTGGCAAGACAGCTTCGAGCAACATCCAACTGAGTCTCGGCTTCCTGGAGTCGCGCCCTGCATTTCTGGAGCTCAACTTCGCGCTCCTTGATTTTGTTTTCTTGCCGTTCGAGTTCGGCCCTGCGTTCCTCAACTATGGTCGCACAAGTCCTCGTGACGCCTTCCATCGCCTCGGTATGTTGCCGTTGCATTTCAAAGCCTTCCCCTGCACGTAATGTTAGTGTTGGTCTTGTTTCGATTTCTCGTTGGTGTAGGCTCCGTACCTATAGTGTTGTCTGCCGACCCGTCGTGCATCCATGACGGATTGGATGGAGTCCTGCACATGTTGCACGGAGATGTCTTGCCGGAGTTTTGTGAATGTTTTTCGAGTTCTTTATGTGTTGGGTCGTTGTGCACGATAAGAATAATGTTGGTGTATCGTGGGAATGTCGTGGAATCAGAACGAGGAGGACGTGTAGCGCTGGTTTTATTCTTCGTTTAACGATGGTTGATGCGATCACCCGAGTCAGCGTGCGAGGTGTATGGTGTATTGAGTTGTTGTTGTAAGAGCTAAGGTGCTAACTACTAAGGAAAGAGAGCCTATGTACCCGTGAGGTGATCACGTGACACAGCGCGTCGACCTAGGTACAGCATGCCCAAGAACCAATCATAATTTACACATTATGCAAGTTACTAATGTGACAGGTTAAATAGAGCGCGAATATTGCGAATGCCGATATAGGGTCGGACAAAACTCGTTTACGAACAGAGCCGTGTTGGGGTGCACTATATGCACGCGATATCATTTGCTCAGCCACGGTTCAAAGATGCCCGGGCAAGAACGCCGCACTGTTCGCCCGTGCCCAACTTCCATCATGCGCTACAACCACCTCTACCTCTACAGGGCTTCCACCTTCCTCACGGACAGTCCCTCGCTTCAAGAGCCTCGCTATTGTTTCGACGGTAGCCGCTGCAGCATCAGTGTCAGCATGCACACTTCTCAGACCACCCTTTCCATCGTCATAGAGCGCGATGCCCTTCTCGCCGCTCAAGATTCGTGGGTCATGACAACAGTCGCCACCAAGATATACCCATTTCTTTGGCCCTGTTCGGGCGAGAAGGTTGATGTGTCCGAACAAGTGCCCTGGCGCATCGATGATGAATAATGATCCGTCTCCATAGAAGTCTATCGAGGCGGGGAACCCCGCCAGCGGCTTCCACTCAAGTCCTTTCAACTGGTTTTTGAATGCGCGTGGAGCTTCTGCCTTGCGAACAGGTGGTAGCTCACTCGTTCGGTCGGCAGGCAACTCATCAGGGTTGAATATCTCGGATGGATAAAGCGGCCCACCACCGTTCGCAAGAAGATGCATAGTCCCACTTCCGACCACAAATCGCGCTTTTGTGAAATCGCTCGGTGTACCCACATGATCCCAGTGAACATGGCTCAGCATCACCACGTCAACATCTTTTGGGTCAAGTCCACCTCCTCGCAGGCTCTCAGCTGCATCCGGGCTGACACTCGTAGGCTGGCGCTGCGCGATATGTTGCTGTTGAGCTTCCCGGTAGCCAGAGAAGTCGCGTTTGAGACCGAGATCGAAGACGAGATTGGATGAACCGTGTCGAATCAAGAAAGAGAGAGATGGGACTGTCGCGCGCCTTTCTGGGTCGGCATCTGTGACGAAGAGTCTCTCGGGAAGGGTAAGCTGGCCGGCCTCGAGGGCTGAGATTGTAACGTAGGTTTGATCGTGGGCTGGTGCTGGAAGAATAACGGTATCGTTGCTTGACGCCATGGCGAATGACAGGAGGCAAGAGCTGGTAGTTCAAGTGTTTTCGAAGGAGCCATGTTCGACGCCAAATATGACATCGTGGTTGGAGAAAGCGTGGTTGGGGAAATCGCTGGCATGTATTCCGTCCTGCGGCCCCACCTCGTCAACTACCCCGCACGCGGGGTCAACCTCTTTGCGATATCGAGATCTGCTGAATCCATCAGTGGTAATAGAAGGTATATATGTATTGAGATTATTCCCAGATGTAGTCGAATGGAAGCTCCCCGCTCCGTATCAATTCGAGAAGTTCTCAAAACATCATGTCGTTTACTGTGCCCGAATCGATGCAAGCGCAGTACCTGGAGGCTTATAAGGAACCATACAGGCTACGATCAGTGCCAATTCCGAAGCTGGAGGAGCCGCATGACATCCTCATCAGGGTAGACGCTGCTTCGTATTGCCATACCGACTATGTCCTAGCGGAAGGACAGATGCCAGGATTGCCGAAATCTTTCCCTCACATCGGGTGCCACGAGTTCGCAGGGACGGTAGTCGCTCATTTCCAGACGCCTAGCAAGGAAGCTAGCGCGCTCGAGATTGGCGTAAGAGTCGGTGTACCGGGGCGTTCTTTCCATGCGTGTGGCTCATGTTTCGAGTGCAAGAACGAGCGCGTGGATGATCCGGTTGCTATGGATGAAGGAGGCTACTCGGTGAACTGTATCAATGCTGAGAACAAAGGGCTGAGCAAAGACGGAGGGTTCGCGCAGTATGCCGTTGTGGATGCGAGACAGCTATCACCCATACCGGACGGTCTGACCGCAGTAGAGACCGCTCCTCTGATGTGCGCCGGCGTGACCATATACGGAGCCCTCAAAAGATGCAGACTGAAGCAAGGCGACCGAGTCGGCATACTAGGAGCAGGTGGTGGTCTTGGCCATCTGGGCTTACAATACGCGGTCAAGATGGGGTACAAAGTTCTGGGTATTGAGGCAGCGGATGAGCCTCTCAAGCTTTCGCAAGATGTCGCCTCGAGATTGGATCCACAGCCGTATATCGTAGACGCTCGGAACAAGAAGGCAGCGGATGTCGTTCAGGAAATCGGCAGGCAAGACAGCAAGAAGGACATTGGCGAGATGGGGCTGGATGCAGTGATCGTCCTGCCGGAAAGCCAGACTGCTTTTGACTACGGCATGGCCCTGCTCAAGTCGCACGGCACGTGCGTTGTGGTGTCATTCCCGGAGAAGGGCTTTCACATCAACTCGCGCGACGTCGTGTTTCGGGATATCAGGATCATCGGCAGCCTGGTAGGAAGCAACAAAGTACTTCGTGAGATGCTGGAATTCTCCGCCGAACATGGTATCCGCGCTTTGTCGACTTCGTTTCCTCTGGCGAAGCTGAACGAGCTTGTAGACGAGTACCACAAGGGTAGGGGTGGAAAGCTGGTGGTTGACATGGCCATTGAAGCGTAGATCGAGTAACAAGATACTTCCGCGCACTCAATGTCCACGGGTTTGCCCACCGCCAAGCCCGAGACCAACTACATCAAGTTAGCGGCACGTGATTGTACGTGCAGACCTCGGGAGGTGGGCCGGGGCCTCCTGATTTCGTGAGCGCCTGAAAGCTATGCAAAACTTCAAATATGGTGTTGCTTAAAGTAATACCCACTGCCTTCATGAACAGGTTCTTGTTAGGTTATAGCACCGATAGTCGAGAGTACCGCAATGTCCAGTAACGAGTCGATCATGAGCCAGCGGACTGACGTCACAAGCCGCCTGAACATCAACGTGAGGACTGTCCAACTAAGCCATACCACAGTACTAGATACTTCAAACTTGACTACAGATATCGCATTGTCTGGCGTTGGCAATCTATTGCGCAATACCACCGCCTCCGGTCCCCCTATTTGATCTGGCCCTTCGCCTATTGACTACGACGAAGTCACCTCGACCATCATCGAAATCATCCAACTTAGCGTCTTTGTCTTCCTTTTCATCCTTTTCATCCTTGTCCTTCTCCTGTTGCTCAGTCCTCTTCTCCCTGATTGCATCTAATTCTTCAATCCAACTCTTGATGAACACCACTTCCTCCTCTTCCAAGTCCTCACAAATACCACAAGAAAGTGCGCTACCTAGCATACGGTTCCCATCTTTGTCCTCGGGCCACGTATAGAAGTACTTGCAGTACCAGCAAGCGTATCCCGAACAGCGGCGGTCGTCGCGCGTTGTAACAGTTGCATCGGCGCACTCGGCCTCGCAGACCGGCAATTCACATGTTTGACATGGGCCACCGGGTGAAGCTATGGTGCCCGGTACGTTGAAGTGTGAGCAGTCGTGACAGACCCATCCGCGGAGAGGGGGTTTGGACTGCGTAGTGTCAAAGTCTTGACCTAGTAAGAGGAGTAGAGGGATGTGTGAAGGAAGAGACTCTTACGTTCCGTGCCATTTCTGCAGACTGTTTGACTGCGAATAGCATGATTCTTTGCGCTGTGAAGTTTTCCTGCTCTAGTATGTCTTTCTCTTGCGTAGGGTTAGCACGAGAGTAGTTGGTACAGTTGAGGTATACATACTGCTGACGACGTCCATGATGTCGAGTGATCGCTCCGTGTATGCAGGTACGATATCAAATGGATGTCGGAAGCGAAAGGGCGACGTGCTTGTATATGTCAGGTGCAACGAGATTGTTCCTGCTGCGAAGTGGCTACCAGCACGTGGAAAGCTCAAGATCACGCTAGGATAGTGTCGCAACTGCGTTTGCTCTCGCTTTCAACGAAGCCTCCGGCTTCTGCTGCATGATGCACGTATACTTCCAACACTATTCCCAACAGTCCATCGCTACAACTTAACCACCCGCTTAATTGAGCAACAGCAATATGACGACACCCACTAGTGAGTCCCCTTCACCTTCTCTTCGCCCACACCACAGAAGTCGCTGACCCCTACCCAGAGCGCGAAATCCTCAACATCCCTTGCGATCTCACTAAAGCCGCCCACCTAGCTCTTGTGCAACTTGCGGTCCGAGATGCTCGCGCAGAGAGCCCAGCACAACGCGGATGGATCTGTCATCGCAGCTCACACTACAACACGCCTGGGTCTTGCCATGTCTCAGGTTCTCTACGCCGGTGCGGCCATGTAGCCTGCCGGCCTGTGCCACTCCATCTGCAGCTTGGTTCAATGAGCCTGGGTAACTACTACCTCCCTGTCCAATGGGCACTACGTGGTCAAACCTAATTCCAATACAGACAATATACCAACCGTTTGTTTCGAGGTTCAGGTCACAACGAGGGAAGATGCGAGACATTATGGTTGGGTGTGTTTCTATTGCAAGGTGTATACTGCATGGGGTGTCTCTGGCGACTTCGGCGCTGCGCGTCTGGTATGTGCCGCGTGTGGTGACGTCAAGGAGAAGGAGGTTGTCTTTGTGAGGAGGAGTTTGGCGGGACATGCTCAGTCGTGGAGGGGGGTGGACGGGATGCAGACGAATGGACATAGTTGAAGATCAGTGAGACGAGCAAATGGTTGGGTAACTTGAGAAGCAATCGAAGCATTCATAAAAAACTGAACACCCTGGAGCCTACCTTGACGTTAGGTTGCCTACTTTGCATATTTTCATCTTGATGTAGGCCGCAGGCCTCTTTAGTTTTCTGTTGTGCGAGGTTGTACCTAGGTGTGAGTATCGCGTTTTTCGTATGCCATGCAGTGTGAACCCAGTCGTAGTGCATACCTCGGGCGGTTTGATCTCGTATCCCGTATACCTAGGTAAGTAACGCACTATTCTCGCTTTGCTCTGTCACCGCGTCTGTCGCACACATGCCATACAGTGACGTTAAGCGTTGACGCGTCTTCGGTGGCATATGCCTTGGCAACCTAGGTACAGTGTAGAGAAGCTGTCGATAACGTGAACATGGCACGGGCGTTGTAATTCCGAATTCGATATGTAATTGCGCATTTATGATTGGACAAAGGGGCCTCTTGTCGGGGGTTGTTCTGTCCGACGTGAACGAAATCCGAGCACCTCGCTCTTTTATAACAGTGCGCGGGGGCACAGGCAGCCCAGGAGCCAGGACGCTGCCATCGGCGGCTCATGTCTCCCGACGACCGGCCTTTAGCCGGACCCGAGACGCTCGCTTCCACCAACCTTTTGCGGGCTACTCGTATCGGTGAGTACAGCATTGTGCGTATCCAGCACACCGGATTGGAAAGTTATGCGCCAAATCCGACGATGACTGTCATCAACTTCAGGCAGACATGTTTGCAACATCTCTTATATGGGGGCCTCTGCATCTCGCTCTCTTTGAAATTTTCCATACAAACAGAAGCAAGCACGACTATCGACTTTCCATCGATTCTGGTTTTGTCAGGTTCTGCCATCGTTTGGCGCATGCGTTATTTGTCTGGTCAGTGCCGTGTCATCTGTAGTTGCCTCGCCTCGCACTCGCACTCGCGCCTTGGTGTTGCGCAATCCATCCATCGTATCGGCCGTATTCCAGCCCCCCGGACGAAACGAGTCCGCGCTTTTGCGTCATCCACATTCGGGTCCATCGCCACCCAACCGAGAAGCTTAGATCGTGTGTTTTGCCCTATCAAGCCTAGTGCCGTCCGGCTCGGACAACGGCTCGCCCTTGCTCTACAAGGATCTCTAATCTTCTAGGCCCGTGGGTGGCGCGCTGAAGGATCTCAAAGGAATTGCAGGAGAAGTTATTGTTCCTCTCCTCGCGACATCCCCTTAAGACATCTTGGAGGCATTTCGATTGCTGCACGCCAAGTATCAGCAACGACACGACAAGACACGCTCATCGCCTTGAGCATGGATAACGAGGACTCAGCAACGTCGACGGGAACGGCCATCTCCGCGGCTATCGACGAGAAGCATGAGTTGCATAACGAAAAGGAGGCCAAGCCTCCCACAGCTGGCCTCAGTGATCAAGAGAAGGATATCATCGACAGGCAGTTGACTGCGCCGAACCTCACAGTCGGTTACTTCTCGCTATTTCGCTATGCCAACGGAAAGGACAAGGTCGTCATGGTCATTGCGTTAATCGCCAGTATCGCAGCTGGTGCTGTTATGCCACTCATGACGGTAAGTAGCATTTCGTACTTTTTTTTGCACCACTCGAACATGGACGATTTGATCATGTAGATTTTGAGTTTGATCACCAAAAGGAAACACATGTTCATCCGAGTTGCGGGAACTTCGAGCTAACTTAATTCAGCTCGTTTACGGTAACTTCGCTGGAAGTTTTACCAGCTTCTCAGTTGATGCAGTCGCTGCTGCCAAGTTCCAGGACCAGATCAACCAGTTTACCCTCTACTTCGTTTACCTAGGAATTGGATCTTTCGTCACTTCTTACATCAGCATCATTGGATTCTCGTATACCGGAGAGCGCATCACACGAACTATTCGGGAACTTTACCTACGTGCCATCTTCAGACAGAACATTGCTTTCTTCGATTTCCTCGGATCCGGTGAAATCACCACTCGCATCAGCTCCGATATGAACTTGGTGCAAGATGGCATTGGTCAGAAAATCGGTCTCTTCGTTACCGGAGTGTCCATGTTTGTTTCTGCCATCATCATCGGTTTCATACGATCGTGGAAGCTCTCTCTAATCATGTTGGCGGCAACGTTGGCACTTATTATGATGATGGGTGTCAATGGTACTATGATGAAGAAAGCTCAGACACTCTCAATCGACGAGTACGCCACTGCTGCTTCCCTAGCTGAGGAGGTGCTGTCTTCAGCTCGCAACGTCGCTGCATACGGCACTCAGAAACGGCTCGAGGAGAAGTACAAGGCTTTCGTCGACCGCGCCACGAAACTGGACTTCAAGGCCAAGTTCTGGCTTTCTATGATGATTGCTGGTATGATGGGTGTGCTGAACCTTCAGTACGGCCTTGCATTCTGGCAAGGCAAAAGGTTTCTCGATGACGGGGACCTTGGCGTTTCCAACATTCTGACTGTTGTCATGGCACTCATGATTGCTGGCTTCTCCATCGGACAGAACTTGCCGCACATTCAGGCTTTCGGTGGAGCTACTGCGGCAGCTACGAAAGTCTTCAACACAATCGAACGGAACTCCCCCATCGACCCAGAAACGGATGCAGGCATTGTACCCGATGACTTTGTTGGCAACCTCGAGTTCAGGAACCTAAAGCACGTATACCCATCCCGCCCGGATACTGTCGTGTTATCGGACTTTAACCTGGACGTTCCATCAGGCAAGATGATTGCGCTGGTTGGTGCATCTGGATCTGGAAAATCGACCATTGTTGGACTTCTGGAGCGCTTCTACCTTCCGATGGAGGGTCAGATATTCTTGGACGGTAGAGACATTACGACACTGAACCTACGCTGGTTGAGGCAACACATGGCTATCGTGAGCCAAGAACCCGTTCTGTTCAGCACGACCATCTACGAGAGCATTCTCCACGGCTTGGTCAACACGGAATACGCAGACGTATCGGACGAGAAGAAGATGGAGCTTATCGAGAAGGCTGCCAAGATTGCTAACGCTCACGACTTCATTATGGATCTTCCGGAGAAATACCAAACCAAGGTTGGAGAGCGAGGTGGCTTGTTGTCTGGTGGCCAGAAGCAACGTGTCGCGATTGCTCGTGCTATCGTATCGGACCCAAAGATCCTCCTCCTAGATGAAGCTACCGCAGCTCTCGATACCCGCTCCGAGAGCGCAGTCCAGGAAGCTCTCGACCGCGCATCGCAAGGACGTACGACCATTGTGATCGCCCACCGACTCTCCACAATCAAGAAGGCCGATAACATTGTGGTCATGGCTTTGGGCAGAATTATAGAGCAAGGCACTCATCAAGAGCTCATCAACCGCGGAGCTGTGTACGCAAGTCTAGTACAGGCCCAGGAGCTTACCGCAAAGATCAGCCCCGCCAACAGGATGACGCTCCTCGACGACCCTGAGAGTAAAACGGAAGGCGTCGTTGATGAAGAAAAGCTTGCTCTGATGCGCACTGTTACATCCGCTCCTTCGGAATTCCATGCCAAGAAGGATGATAAAGACAAGGAATACGGCACCTGGGAGTTGGTCAAGTTCGCCTGGGAGATGAACAAGGGCGAGCACTCTACCATGACCATCGGATTGGTATTCAGTTTCCTTGCTGGTTGCAACCCTGCCATTCAAGCCATCTTCCTGGGTAACTCCATCAACTCGCTTCTATCTCCTGGAACATCTCTCGGTGGACTCAACGTCAACTTCTGGTGTGGCATGTTCCTCATGCTCGGAATCGTCATCGGCTTCTTCTACTACGTACAGGGTATGACACTGTCGAAAGGATCTGCCAGGCTTGTTGGCAGCGTGCGAACGCGCGCTTTCGGCGCCATGCTTCGTCAAGACATGGAGTTCTTCGATGGTGACACGGTCACTTCTGGTGCGCTGAGCAACTTCCTTTCTTCAGAGGCGAATCGTCTCGCCGGTCTCAGTGGCTCCACTCTCGGAACGATTGTCAGTGCCGCCGCTTCTATCCTTGTCGCCTTCATCGTGGGTTGCTCTTTCGGGTGGAAGCTAGCACTCGTGTGCTCTGCAACCATTCCCCTTGTGATCGCCTGTGGTTACTTC